GATGTATCTGCTGTCTGTGTTCTGGCCATAAATCAATAGATACACACAGATGAAGAGCGGAAGAGCCAATGCACAAAGTTTAACAGTCCATGTGACACATAAATATGTGTGAGTGTGTGTGTGTGTGTGTGAGTGTGTGTATGTGGGAGAAAGGAGAAAGGGGTATATCATCCAGGGGGAAAGGGATAGAGAATGAATTGTTATGGCCATCACACCAGTGGAGAGTGGGATCAGCATTTATACCTACAATATATCCCCACAGAATTATTATATTATTTTGTGAGACCTGAAGATCCTGATGAATATTTAATATAAATTCCACATCCAAATTGGAGCAAACTGGGATTCAGCATTCCAATTGGATTTTCGAATTTCGGATTAATTAAATTAATCAATATGCCCCCATGCCCCCTCGATCCACTTTTCGGACAGCATCCTACCAAAAGGATGCGATGCCTGTGCCTGTGCCTGTGCCCGTACCGTCATCATGGCTTAAAATCAGCAACATCCAGACAGCCGTCTGCCAGACAGAAAAACTGAACTGAACTGAACGGCACCGAAAACCGGGACTGAAATGCCATTCGAGAGTGAATCCTGAGAGCAGGGGGGCCAATCAGTGCCCCATCCTCCGATCCCCAGTTGCGTTGAAATGAGGCGCCTCAAAGGGAATCGCATCGTTTATTTATGGAGGCGATACGTACATATTCGTGTTGTGTTGCTTTTTGCTGCTGCTGTTGCAACTTCCCCGTAACGTAACCTATTCTCTGTGGAGAGCGGCACCTCTTCTAATCTCCCTCCCTCTATTTTCGGTGGGAGGTAAGGGAGGGCAGTAGTCTTAATCAGGGCTTTCGCATCTAAATGCGGCTCCAAATTGAATAATGAATGCAAAGTGGCCGGCATTCGACGAGTGCCTTTCGAATCTCCATTCCCATTCCCATTCCCATTGCCATTCGCATTCCAATTCCCCTTCCATTCCATTGCCATTCCCGCAGTGAATTAGAGACGAAGTGGATTTTACAGTGGGTGTGGCTGCCACTCCACGCCCTCCCTACTACCTTTCGTATCGCTGCTCAATGAAATGCATTAAATCAAGGCATCGTTGAGTGGCAGAAGAGCAGAGAAGAGACCATGGACATAGACATGGACATGGACGGAGCCACACACAGCAGGTGGCAGGTGTGTGCGGCACTGCCCCAAAAAGAAGGCAACGAAATGGAAATTTCATCCACCCGGTAGAAGGGGAGGGAAGGGAAGGGTAGGGAAGGGGAGGGTGTGTACTCCGCTTACCCGTAAACATCAATTACGCGCCGCCCCCAAAACTATTCACGCGATTAGCAGCGTTTCCTAGTTATTGGATAATAGCTTCATGCCACAAGGGAATGGGGCATGGGGCATGCGGCAGGGTGTCAGTGGGGTGGGGAGGGGGGCTCTACAACTTACGATGAATTGAATTAACGGCCGAGCGCACTGCCGTCCGTGGGGTGGAGGGGGCAGCCATCGGTGCTGTCCGACTGCGGGCGCTGTAAATTTCCAGCAGGAGGTGCATCTGATAAAAACACGAGGCAGAGGCCCAGAGGCGAGCCGTGTCGACAGCCAGGGGCGACGGCGAAGGAGGACCAAGCCTGGAGATAGACGAACCAGAAGGAGGCCCGAAGAGTTATATCCAAATGTTGTGGAGCTCCCTAGGAGCAGAAATAGGAGGCTCCTGCTCTGTGGGCGAAACGAGAAATGTAAAACAGAAACAGAGAAACAGAAACAGAGAGAGAGAGAGAGAGACTCGACTCCAATGGAGAAGGAGGCTTTATTGCTGCGTCTCCAACGACTCCTTCCCGGACTCTTTTCTCTCCGCTCTACATTCTCCATTCCGCAGCTCCTCCTCTCTTCCGCTCCACCTCCTTTTGGGCCGTTTTGGCCTGGTCTTAAAAGCGAAAAGCCATTTGTATTCATTTGAAATTAATTTAGCATTCATTCAAGGCAAACGACGAGGCGCTGCACGAGTCGGAAGAAGCAGCAGAAGCAGCGGCAGGAGAGAGACACCCATTCATGCTATGCTCCATGCCCCCCAATGAGGCAGGCAATAAATGGCTGCCGCTGTAGCTGTGGCTGTAGCTGGATGGATGGATGGAGGCTAAGCAATGGATAAATACGTGTACGTGGAATACATTTTCGGTGGCACATTCGAGGCGACGACGTCTGGGTCTCCCACTTTCGCTTATCGATAGGCCGTTCATTGTGTGAATCGGGAGCATGCAGCAGCGGCAGCGGCAGCGGCAGCAGGCAATTGAAACTACCACAACAAGAGCCAGTGGCAGTGGCAGTGGCAGTGGCAGAGGCAAGGCTCGACTAATTTTAACAAATTAATTGGCAACAATAAATTAGCCTGGCGAAAAGGTGAAGCCAGATAGTATCGTATCGGAAGAGCGGGGAGCGGGGAGCGGGGAGCCGCCTCCGCTGCTGGATAGATTGCTCCACTAATTTGATTTCTTGAATGGGTTTAAGGAGGCAGCAGCTGGAGAAAGCGTTAAGTATCGCCCCATAGCCATAGAGGAGGCTGAACATTCAGCTGGAGATACCCTGTAAATGGGGCGAGTCCATGGTTTGTAGGGTCCATCTGTGCCACAGGTGTCCTTACACCAAATCACTGTTAATTATAGAATTTGTGGCTACCCCGCACTACCCACAGTGATCTGTGAATCTGAATTCCCTTTTCAATTGCCGTTTGCAAATGGAATTTCATAATCAAATGCCAATACGCACACACACACAGGACAAAGCAGAGATGTATCTAAGAGATGGAGGAATGAAGGATGCAGCTCCAGATGCAGGGGGGGAATGTGCTCTGTTAATCATTCGTAATGTGCCGCTAGGTACTGTGTCAATTACAGGGCCCATTGTCTGTCAATTCCCGCTACCCTTGCCCCTATATTTCCCCCTCTCTCATTTGCATTACAAATTCCGAGATAGAGGGAGAGAGAGAGAGAGACAGAGAGATATGGAGATAGTATGGCCCTACAGGGCATTCCTTCAGTCAAGAGGCAGCGGCGGCACTTGCGACCACTTGGACTACGTCCTCCTAGTATCGGGGAAGACCATCAGGGCAGACATTTTATTTATGATGCTCCAAGCCAAAGAGGCGTATGCGTTGAAATGCCTCCCCGCACACACACAACCTCCCCACCCTCTCCGTTCCGGCCTGTGGGGAAGCGGGGAAGTAGGAGGAGGGAGGGAGGCTACGCTTTCGACAGGAACATTTGCGGGCCATAACACGCAACATTTGACATGGTCGAGAGAGACCAATGCCACAACCAGCAGAGAGCCAGCCAGCCCGTAGGTACAGGTGTTGCTTCCCCCCCACCGCATGCGGACCCTGTGCAGGGAGGGGTGGCGCCACAAATCTCTCACGACTGCCGACGCATGTACATAAACTGCGAAATTGGCCTATAACTGTCTGTTCAATTGTTTCTGCCATCCCAAAGAGGTGGGTAGAAGGGCATACAAAAGTGGGGTGTGGGGGGGGGGGAGATACATACATACCTATATATTGCGGTAAAAATCACATTTCCATGAGCCCCATGCCACAGGCCCCAGCCATGGGTCGTAGTGTAAATCATTCATGTGAGGAGGCCCACACCCCCACACCCCCACTCTCCCATCCCCACCACCATACTGGGCGATGTATGGCTGCGGCTGGTGCCCCAAAATGTAGACTATATTAATATGCCAGAAAACGAGTGAGGCAGGCAGCGGGCAGGCAGCGTACGCGACTACGAATATTCATTTGTACGTGACTATTCAGCATATTATGTTCGTCTCGTCTCGTCTCGCCAGGAGTCGTCCTTTCGGTTCGTTTTCGTTTCAGAGCTGCAGGTTGCTCGTCCTGGCATTCGGGGCTGCTGTTTCATTCATTCGTGCGGCATGTCGTTGAGGCAGGTTGTGCTAATAACCCAGAAAGCTGTGCCACAGCGAGAGAGAGAGAGAGAGAGAGCGAGAGCAAACCAAGATCCTGCGACTTACTCTGCGGCTTTTTAGAGGCCCAGAGGCTCAGAGACGGAGCGAGCAAGTGACCAAGCGACCGACGGGATAAACGGGAGTCAAACCCTTGCCTTAAAAATACAAAAAAAAAAACTCCTCATTAAGCATGCTACCACACGACGTTGCACGACGGCAGCAGGAGGCAACAAATGGATGGCAAATTAATATTTGATATGCTCTCTCTTTTTGCACACTCTCTCTCTCTCTCTCTTTCTCTGTTCGCTTTCCGTCACTGCGCTTGCGTTTGGCATTCGGAGTGTTTCGGAGTGCCGTGTGTGGCAGGTTCTGGCGTGTCCTCTGAAGGCCTTCTCCGAGATGGTTTCAGTTCCAGTACGCGAATCCTACGGCAAGGATGCAACGTGCGCGTGGCATCTACTTCGAGTCATAGAGTCCCAGAGGCAGAAGAGTCACAGAAATAGCAGCGGCAGCAGCAGCTGAGGCAGCAGTAGGAGAGGCACTGGCAAGAGCAGTGGCAGACACTCTTACATTGTGCCACATTTAAAAATGAACTAAAGAGTGGCACGAGCAAAACGAAACGAATCGAAACGAAACGGGAACGGGAAAGGGAACGGAGGCGCAACGAATGCGTGGGCCAAGAGCCGTTTAATAACTAAATCCCTTGGAGGCGCCGCTGGTCACGTCTCTGGGCAAGCAGGCGGGCGGTCAGACGGGCAGACGGGCAGACGGATACACAAAATGAGACTTCGAGTCCTTCTCCTACTCGTTCGCGTGTGTGTGGCAGTGAGACCTGTACGTGTACGTGTATGTGATTGTGTGTGTGTGGCATACTACCTATAGGGCTGGCTTTGCCACCTAATTTGGCAACAACATATATACGAGTACACACCACATCCCTTGCCACATTCCACATCGGTGGGAATAAAATAATACAAAAGCCCTCGTCGTCCTCGTCCTTGTCGCTGTCGCTGTCGTCGCCACCGTCGTCGCTGTCGCTGTCGGTTGTGCTGTCGGTGCGTGTCCATGTCCATGTCCCTGCCACATGATGTGGCTGCCACATAGCTGTGTGTCCCTGTCCCTGTGTGACTCCTAAACGGAAATATTTCCCAAAACCGTGGCCGTGCCGTTATTAACCCACGACATACCGAAACAAGCCCCAAAAACAAACCAAAAGAAGGCAAAAGAAAAGAAAAGAGAAGAAAGGACTCCACTCCGATTGTTGCATGGTTTGATTTGATTGGTAGATTGACGGTTCGGTTTGACTGATTGACTGATTGAAGGCAACAGTTGTTGAGGCGGCAATGTTTTGGCCGCGTCTCCGTCGACCCGTGAATTCGTTTCCTTTGGCTAATTATGGGACATTGCGCAATCGATTCGATTGTTGGCTAAAAACATAAAAAAAAAAACGAAGCTCAAAGAGAAAGGAGCCCTCAAGGGGAGCCACAGGACTACAGGCAGAACTTCTTCCCAGGCAGGACTCGCAGAAGGACCCCGATGATGATGACGTTGATGTCATTTGGAAGTCATTTCGGGAAGAGAAGTCGTAAGTAGAGACAGAGACAGTGAAAGAGAGAAGAGGAATTTAATTTAATGCGCCACAAGGATACACAAGGATAAGGATAACAGATGAAAGAGGCAGAAAGAGAAGCAGATACAGAGACAGAGAGAGAGAGAGAGAGAGAGAGAGAGAGAGAGAGAGAGGCAGAGAAAAGCAAACAATGATGGGGGATTGCCCCTTCCACTGTCCATTTGGTGTCCACTGTAGCGGAGTGTGTCCTGTCCGCAGAGGTCCTCTGTCCTCTGTCCGATGTCCCTTCTTCGTCCTTTCATTTTGACAGACAGGCGGCCTGGAAAAAGTCGAAAAAGAACAACAGCCGGAATAATGTTATTCGCTAGACGGATAAAAAATGGACACAACACAACAAAACCCAACCCAACACACAACTTTTGTTTAATTTGCAGAAGGAGCCGAAAGGGAGCCCCAGAGAAGGGGGGTAGAAACAGTGGGAGGGGCAGATAGGAAACACCTCGTGCCCCGGACAGGCGATAATTCCGTTGTAATAGCCGCGAAAAAATGCTGCTTATGAGAACCTTTTTCTTCATCAAACAACACAACACAACAGCCCGAAAGGCAGTCCCCACAGAAAGCAACGAAACGAAGCAACGAAGCCAGAAAACAGTCAAGAAGCCGACGGTAAAGCCGACTTCCCCCTCCCACCGTCCAGAAAAAAAAGACCAAACCAAAAAGTGACCAAAACAAATGGTGGAGCCACAAAGGAGAGTCCGTGCCACCCGTTGAACGTTGCTTGACCCTTGGAAATGTCCGTGCGTCCCGTAGTCAGGGGAGTCGGAGTCACGCAGCTAATTGGAGTGACAACAAATGTATATTTTTGAGTAATGACCCGGGATTATGAAAGACCCTTCGTTATAGAGGTTGTGCAGGGCAGAGAGACAAAGAGCGAGAGAGCGAGCCCCTTCTTTGCCCCTTTCTCTCTCAGGGATAACGACCACTGACTGATTACTGAGTTTGGAGTCATAAATAATGACTGCCAGAGCGGAGGAGACTTGACTCCCGCAGGCCACAGACAGACAAATTCCCCGCCAGAGGGAAACAGAATGGAAGGCATCCCCTAGTAGCGGATATCTCTGTCTCTCTGATTTATCCAACAGATAAAATATGAAAATCTATATCGTTGACAAGGTCGTTTGGGTTTAGCTTTAGCTTTAGCGCTGCAATTGATGCCGCCACAGCAGTTGATGATGCCACACGAAGAACTGCAGGGAAAGTTTTTAATTTCATCCTTCACAAAAGTTTTCGACTTTTTCTCAGTTTTGCCTTTTGCTCTTTTCTCCGTGCCCCTCTCTACTTTGTGCCACTTCGTAATTGCCTTATCCACATCCACGGGGAGGGGTGGGAGTCGAGACTCTTGCAACAAGATACGCGTTGCACGTTCCTGCTGCTCTTGGCTGTTGCAACAATCTGTTGTGTGTTGTTTCGCATTTTGGAAATGCAGTTTGTGCGGCAGATCGGAAATGAAATTACCGAGGATTTATTCTGGGGGAAATGCTTTTGCAGTGCTTCATTGAGTTTCCCGGACATTAATTTTCGTTCGCTTTCCACATTTCCGTATTTCCACCTTTCCAGATTCCCAGCAGCGAGATATATCATTTATGTGAGCTCGAAAAGATCCTGCCACAAGGAAATGACACAGTACAGTGTAATTATCCCGTTTAATCGAATGACTAATCGAAAGCCTACCCTAACTTTTCCCATTCGTATCTTCATTCGATAAATGAGGGCATTCCATAACAGCATTAGTTGCAGACCTCAATTAGGGCCGTAATCTGATTCCGATTTGGGTCAACTATCATTTGGAATACGTTCCTGAATCGATATTTAATAAACCAATAGATTACTCAGGCTACTCGCGAATGATCAAAGCAATAAGAAAATCCATTTGGTGATTGATTCTAATCATTATTTTATTATATTATGGCCGAACATGACATTTCGATGACAGTATTTGTGGCATAATTGATAATTCATCATTTGTTGAAGCTTCATCATATTATTAGGATTTGATAACAGTTCTGGTACGATAATTTCATAATCTATCGACAGAGGTATATGATGGATCGATAGAAATTTCAATCTTTGGCTTTGGCATTTTTACTTTCCCATTAATAATTATTAATCAGTTATTGCTCAGAGCACCAATGAAAATTCACTGCTTTAGGTCATTTTCCCATCTCCGATTCCTTCCTTGATTGTTCCTTACAATTTCATGGGCTTATTTTTACACCTGAAACGCACTTTAAGTGCAATTTCTTTGATGGAACCGTAATTACCACGAATATCTTTGAATCTCTTTCTCTCTCTCTCTCTCCGGGATCTCTCTCTGGCATATGGCACCTGGCATCCATAATTTGCTTTCAGGCTTCACCTTTTTTGGCAGCCATAAAAGCGTTGGTAATAATATTCTTCCTTCTTGCTCCTGTCTCCCCTTTGCAGATTATTAAACCGTAAAATCGTAAAACAGAAACGAAGGAGAAATACCATCCGCAGAGGGAATCCATCAACAAGCAAAGAGAATCGTGAAATATGTCGTCGAATGAGTACCAGAGACCGATGAAATCGGGCATTTCCTGTTTGCCACTGTGGCTGTGGCAGCTGCTGCTGCTCCTGCTCCTGGGTAAGATCTACGATGTGGAGATTGTTGCGAGTCCTTCTATATCTGTATGTCCTTTTCACAGACTGCGGCGGCATGGCGGTGTTCGGCGAGGTGCCACCGCACTACTGGGAGACGCCGTACTCGCAGCCCTACTTCGACAACTCCTCGCGGCGCGAGGTCACCGCCACCGTGGGCCAGGCAGCGCTCCTCCATTGTCGCGTTCGGAATCTGGGCGATCGAGCGGTAAGTGGGGGTCAATCCAAGGGGTCCAGTCCAAAGGTCCAAAGGTCAGGCAGGGGCAGCATTAAATTCGCATAAACGGAACGTGGGGCGGGGGGCGGGGCATGTGGCAAAACAAACGACCTGCGGCGGTGGTCGTGTGGCAGATTTGTAGATTACTTTTAAAAGATTACGCCATAAAGTTGGTGGTCTAAAGCCCCGTGCCCCTTGCCCCTTGCCCCATGCCCCTGCCACATGCCTGCATGCCTCCACCTCTCTCTCGCTCTCTCATGGTTTGCGGCTCGTTCTGGTTTGCACATTTGTAACACGGCTTCGGCTTCCGCTCCGAGCGATTTGTTAGCAATGCAACAACAGGCGTCGGACCCTGCCACACTGCCAAAGTGCCACAGTGCCACCCCGTTGTGGCAGGCACCCTTCTTTGTCCTGAAAGCGCTCTGTGGCTGTGCAATTATGCGGTGTAATAAATTTTACGTTGTCCGTGTCTTGCCACCAGTTCGTGCCCCTCGTTTCCTGTCCGCCCCTGCGTCACTCCCTGCTCTCCGTTCGAACCAGGAAGCGACAACGATGTCAGCGCTCGCTCCCCGCTGTGGCGTGGCGTGGCGACAGACAAGACGTCCCCCGCCCAGCCCCGCCCCGGCCCGCTCCGTCCTGTCCCTACCCCTGATGCCCCAACTTTCAGCAATTCAGTCGTCGGATTGAGTAATTAACGCCCAAGCAGAGTCAGAGGCAAGAGCAGAGCAGAGCCGAGCCGAGCCGAGAGCTCCACAAGCAAGAAACTCTTGCCCCTAATCCACATGCCACAAGAAAGCGAAGGAGGGGAATGAGAGGGACAGGACAAGGGACAGGACAGGACAGGACCCTGACAACGCATTGTCTCCTGTTATATGCAGCTAATTGGCGAATGTCTCCAAACACCCAGACTCCTTCGCATCCTTCGCATCCGTCGCATCCTTCGCATCCTTCCATCTCCCAACGATAATTCCCAATGCACGGGTCACGATTCCCGACTCGGGATTCACTTTCAAAGATGTGGCAACGGAGAAACTTTTGCTTCCCCGTGCCTCGTGCCTCCTTCTGCTTGCCGCTTCATTGCTCCTCCGTGCCTCCTCCGTTCCGTGCTAATTGATAGTCGCAATATGCAGCACGACACCGAAATTTGCCTCTAAATGGGATTTTTCTACATTTTGTGTGGCACGCTTCAACAGAAGGCGAAGGAGGAAAGCGGATGGAGGCAAAAGAAAGTGCAACGGAAAAGTGAGTGAAGCTTAATCACCACTGGAGCTGTGTGCCACACGCCACACACCACACACCACACACCACACGCCACACGCCTCACGCGCGCTGTTCTGGGAACTAGTTCAAGTGCCATGAACCAGTTGCCGGGAGTAGTTGGATGTGGTTTCTCTCCAACCTAAGGGATGATTAGGGGTCCTTAAACTTAACTGCAGTTGGGGGATACCTTTCTGGATGGAAAATATGTACACATACACACATAGCTAACAATTGCTGGTCACCCATGCCGCAGGACATTTCCAGAAAATGTTGAAATGTTGCACCCGTTAGCACAATTAGCTGAAAAATAACATAAAAAAATTCTGGCAAAGAAATAACGGCTAAAACGCAAGAAAATACTTGATCCAATATAAGAAAGGATACTAGATAAATACTGTAAGAAATACTAGATCAAAAGCGGGAATAATCATAGATAGAGAACTGGAAAAATTACAAGATAATTTAATGCACATAATTATGGTAGTTAATGGCTTAATAGTCCCTTAAACACCGTCGCTCTTGGACAGCGGTTGTGGCTATGATTTATGCTTTAATTGCGTTATGTGATGTACAGCCCCAACATTAAATTGATCCAATGAACCAATGACATAATGAAATGGAATCTCCCCATCAATCATAATTAAAGACAGATCTGTTTCGTCATGTTGCACATACACACATTCATGCTTGCTCTGGCTTACCTCTTGCCGCCCCACCCCCCCCAACGAACGAACGTTAATCAATTAATGAACGGTACGGTACGGTACTGAACGGAACGGAACGGCACGACGACTTTGGAGCCGCATTCGGGCGCTCGCCTTGAACTTATTTGCATTTGGTGGACGGTGGCGGGGGCGGTGTTTGGTGGAGGTAAAATGCAATTAATTTTAATTGAAAATTAGCGAAACGAATGGTTAATGAATGCATATTAATTTAAAAAATAAATCAAAAGGCTCTTTTGTGTACTCGGTTTTTAAGCCCGGCCAAGCGCTAATCCATAATTAATTGAAGCCAAACAAATGGCGGAAAATTAAGTTCGTCTCCAGGGGAAAACTACCAGGGAAAACTACAGGGAATTCCAGAGTAAACTACTCCCCGAATACCGAGCTCCGAGCTCCGAGCACCGAACACCGAGCACCGAACACCGAGCACCGAACAGCAATGAATAGCGAACAGAACACTAAGTAACCCCCGAAAATGCAGCCATAAATTAGATCCCAGACAAAGCCCCCAAAAACAGGCAATTAATGAATTTTCTTCTGCAGCTTCCTTCGTTGCCCCCCGCAAATGGGAAAAGTTTTTGGGGCAAGAGCATTTAAAGTTGCTCAATTTGCAACAACCGACGGAACGAAAGAGGTGAAAGCAGGACTCCTCTCTCTCACTCTGTTTCTCAGGTAGCCTTATTTATGAGGTTTCCCACTCTCCCCAATGCTAAGAATAGAACCAATGTGAAGCGAAGGAGCAAAGCAGCAAAGCAGCAAAGGATATACGTATGTAGCAGTGGAATATTTGTGTGGGGTTACACTTAAACACTGTAGAACAATATGGTTGTGTTCGCTGTGACGTCAAGAGTTTTCCAATTACAATGAAAGCACCATGGCTGGCTCCCTGGAAAAGCATGCAGCCCACGCACACCTAAAAACTCTCCTTAATGGGCGGGATTGGGAGTGAGAGATGATTTACAGAAATCAGTGCTCGTATATTCATAATAATAATAGTCGGCAGAGAGCAGAGCTTGTGCAACTATTTGTATGAGACTCTTAGAGACTTGACTTATGCACTTGTCTTGTGGGCCGTGCCTCGCGACCCACTAGCTTTAGGTGCATTGCGCTACGAGACTCTATTTTGTACACTGCTTTAAGGTCTCTTGGATACGCAAACGGGACCTGCACATCCTCACGGTGGGGATTCTAACGTACACGAATGACCAGCGCTTCCAGTCGCTGCACTCCGAGGGCTCCGATGAGTGGACGCTGCGCATATCGTCGCCGCAGCCAAGGGACTCGGGCACATACGAGTGCCAGGTATCCACAGAGCCAAAGATCAGCCAGGGCTTTCGCCTGAATGTCGTGGGTAAGTACACAAGATGAGCGAGAGTGTGGCTATGGCATGTGGGATGCAAGAAAGAGACACGGGGGCCATGTAATTAATTGAGTCGTGCCCTTCGGGGCATACTCCACTCCACTTCACTTCACTCCACTCCTAGTGTCAAGGGCCAAGATCCTGGGCAACGCGGAGCTGTTCATCAAAAGCGGCAGCGACATCAATCTCACGTGCCTCGCGATGCAGTCGCCGGTGCCACCGTCGTTCATCTACTGGTACAAGGGCAAGCGGGTGATGAATTACTCGCAGCGCGGTGGCATTAACGTCATCACAGAGCGCTCGACGCGCACCAGCAAGCTGCTCATCGCCAAGGCGACACCGGCGGACTCTGGGAACTACACCTGCTCCCCGAGCAGCTCAGGTGGGTCGGCTCACAGGTCTCCTGTTTTCCCACCATTTGCAGCATTGCAGCATTTTCCCCATTTTCCCCACTTTCCTCACAGACTCTGCCTCGGTGGTGGTGCACGTCATCAACGGTGAGCATCCGGCGGCCATGCAACATGGCAACAGCAGCGCCAGCTGCCTCCTGCGCCGCCTCCGCCACACATCAGCAGTGCCTTTGCCTTTGCCACTGGTCGCCATCGCCACGACGATGTGGCTGTTGGCAGCGGCTGTCACCTGCAACTGGAGCAACATTGCCGCAGGCCTCCTGAATGTCTGGAGTTGGAGCTGATGCAACAGCGCCAGAGGAAGCAGAAGCAACATCCAGAGCAGAAGCTGCCGCATGACTGCATCTCCTCCTTCTCCTCCTGCTCCTGCTGCTCCTTAAGGAATGCATTTAATGCGGAGAGCCAGAGGACTCGCAGGAGAAGCGGCGTTTATTACGAACTATAGTGTACATACAGTGTGTCCTTTAAACGAAGAGTATTATCTATAAGACATACATATATGGGGTATCCCCCACCCACCCATCCAGCAGGCGGGTGGCAGTATTACGATGGAACTTTTAACCAGGAAAACAGATGAAAATCGAGAGAAAAGTCCTGTAGGCAATGCACTAGAGAGAGGTGCCTGCTGCGAGGAAGAGAAGGAGGAGTCCTCCTACAGCATGTGCCTCCCACAGAAACCCCAAAAATCCCATCCCAAAACCATTTTCAAGCTTTTGTTTTTCCACCAATTACAATTTTAAGTTAAAGGACACAAAAATGAGTCCGAATGTTCCACGGGAAAAAAGATTTTCCATGGTTCCAGATCACATATTCCTCCAGTTTGGGCTTCAAATTCGACCCCTAAAAGTCCCTGCTCCACTCATCGAGAACTCTCAAGTGAGATGTTCTTTTCTTTTTACTTACCTTTTGAATTCTTCCCTTTTGAATGCCTCATCCCCATGCAGCACACTCTAAACCAAAAGCAAAACAAACAAAAAAAGAAGGAAAAGATATATAGATGATTATTCGGTGTATTTTATGGATAGGATTTTTATCTGGTTGTCAGCCGCAAAAGAAAAAATAAAACAAAAGAAAATGTTCTACGTAGAGTCCATCATCTAGTTACTGTGTAAAATATTCATTTACTGATAAACTGTACATTTAGAAGCTCGGTTTTAAGTGCGGATTAAAAGGATTAACAGATTAAAAGGATTAACGGATTAACGTAAGCTATAAGCGGTTGGATGGTTGGATTGGATCCCTGAAACGCAATCCTCTGGGAACCAGAGAATAGACAAATTATTACAGAAATTATTACAAAAACAAAAACATAAGAAAAAGATTGAAAGCTAAAAGTATGTTTTTCTGTTTTAATGCAAAATGCAAAAATAACACAAGCAAACAACAAACAAATAAACAGAATGTTTCTCCATAATAAAAAATGAAATGAAAATATGGTTATGGTTAAAAAAAACCCAAACGTTTTTCTTTGATTTATTTCGAAGGGCGAGAAATGGGCAAGGGAATCCTTTTCATATAGGGAACATGAGACTCAGGGAATGGTTCGCCTTCCCAGTCGTGGCAGCTGGTCTATCTCTACCAGGTAAGTTTTAATTTCACCGTTCACGTTGTGAATTTCACTCCCCCTTCGAAACCCACCAAATAAATGAATGAAAATATGCTTATTGACCAAAAAAACATAAAAATTTCCATCGCACTAAATGTTCTTTAATTTCACTAACCGTGGGGCAGACGGAGGAGGAGGAGCCACCGATTGTGGCAGCTTAACGGGGTGTCCTAATTTGTGGAGGAGGGGTTACAGGGGATTTAGTGGCAGGGAGGCAAAAGTTTTTTATCCTATTATGGCAGGCGTTTAATTAACGTCCGATTGGCTGTCGCTTCGGTCGTGTTTTTGGGGGCGTTGGAGATTCGATTTGATCATCTTCATTATGCATACGCCCCATGCCCCATGCCCCCTGCAAATCCGACAGCTACTGGCCGCAGTCGGTGGTTGCCACTAGAGCTGTGCTGCAGCCACCACAGAGCCACAGAGCAGAACCAGAACCAGAGCCAAAGCCAAAGCCCGGTGTGGCACGACGACCGAATGTTGCCCCCGAAAATGAAAGACTAATTAAGCGGCTTATTTGCGCGTATTAATAGACCGAAGTTTGTGGTCAGGACTCAGGCCTGTTCGAGAGTGAGAGTGAGAGCGAGTCTGAGTGCTAGTGTGTGTGTATCCGTGTGTGCGGGTCAACAACTGTAGATACAAATACAACAACAACAAAACAACAAATACATACTGTGGGAAGAGAGAGAGAGAGAGAGAGAGGAGCCACTACCAGGAGAGTGGCTAAACCAATACGTATTTATATTTCCATTTTAAAAAAAATAGCAAAAAAAATATACAGATACAGCCACCACACACACACACACACACACACAGACAGATGCGGATACATGTGAGGGGTAGGGTAGGGGAAAATGAACTTATAAAAACTGTAACGGCAGCAGCTTATGTGCTTCTGGGGAGGCGGGGGGAAGGGATGGGTGCACGGGTAAAAGGGTGCAAAAGTCAAAGAAAATAAATGGTTTTTCAACTTTTATTTACTCGAGGGGCAAGCAGTGGATGCTGCAACACAGACTGAGAGGGAGAGCGCGTGGAATCAATGTAAAGGTCACAATTTATTCAATTGCCTTTTGGCCAAGATATTTTTATGGCGTGTTCATGTGTCTGCTCCGCTCTCTTCTGCTTTTGGCCAGCACCAGAACCAGACCTAATCCCAAATCACAACGGAATTACAGGAGTCGCTGGTAATGGTTATGTAGCGGAAGAATGGGGCAGCCAGCCCAAGGAGGAGGCAGGCAGGACGGCAGGCCCTCCCAGGCACATAATGGCCAATTGATAGCCAAAAGGCATTAACACGCCAAAGGAAAAGCAAACGAAGGAAATTCCCCTGGCTAAAACAGAGATGTTGCCAAAAAAGCGAGCAAATTTCCACTCTCTACAGTGGTGGGGCAGAGGCATGGCCAGCGGGGAATGGAGGGGTAGAAATATTAAGTTCAAATGTAGCAGAAATCCAAAATACGTGCCATGACATAGAAAACAGCCAAAGGAAGGACACACGAGCAGCAGCAGGAGGCGGTGGGCGGAGGGACCATGGGACAACGTAACCAATCCCTGAGACAAGTCCATGGCCCTGCCACACAGCACCCTCCCTCCTCCTTCTTAGGTGCGGCATGCGTGCGTGAAGCGAAAATCACGTCCAAATTTCTTAGTTGCCACACGAGAGGAAAGAAAAGGAACGAAATTTATTGAGGAAAGGTCAGAGAATATTCATACATCGATAGCACAGCACAGCCCTTTCTCTACTTTTTTTCCCCCTAAAATTTAATATAAAATGCTGCTATGGCAAGTGTGGCAGCCATTGCGGGGGGGTCAGTGGCAGAAAAAGACTTAGACAAATGGTCGCCTTCTCGTAAGCGGATGACTTACGTTACGGGGGTATGGGGGGTATGGGGGGTATGCCCCAGAGATACAGAGAGAGAGCGAGAGAGAGGGAGTACCTGCTGCTAGTGCTGCTGGTGCTTCTGGTGCAGCTTCAGAACTCTTAAGAGCGTTAAATATTTTACGATATGTGCAACTCGTCGTGTCCCTCCCTCCCTCCTCGCCTCTACCTTTCTCTTCACTCAAGTTGCATGCAGAATGTAGCCACTCCTCCACCCCTTTTGGTGGCTCTGTGGCAGCTCCTCTTCCCCTACCCCACCACATCCAAGTGAGTGGTGCGGCAAAGTTAATGGCTTAGAAACGAACGAACGAATGAAACGCACCAGCAAAAACAAATACAACTAGAAGGTTGAAAGGAACAAAGCGTTTCGACGGGATTGATTCTCTGGGGAATTAATATTCCCGATTATTCTATGATATTTATACACATAGGAGGAGAGATCTTTCCCATAAAGGGAATTTGTTTTTTTATTAATCTTCTAAAATTGAAAGAATTCTAAACTAAATGAAATATAAAAGCTAAAGCGACTTTACATTCGAAAGTGCTCCATTTTGGCCTGCCCAGGGTGTCGCTTGGTGCGCTTCAAACCTGTGCACAAATATTTCCAACTCCTTCGGCAAATAAATGTATGAAATTTTCATCAAAAATTTTGACAGCAACAAATTCCTTGTCGAAGAAGGAGCAGGGAAAGCATTTGCTAAATGGAAAATGGATTAGAATGAAAATTGTTTAAATGCATGGAAAGTGCTGAAGGACCAAAAGGAGAAGAGGGGAACCAGCAACTGCAGAAGAGAAAAGAAACAGCAAGAAAATAAGTAACTCTCATAATGAAATCTCCTCTCCTCTCCACCCCCTATCCACTCCAGTTCTTTCGAGTGCATGGAAATTGCTAATCGGATGCATACAAGAGGCGCGTGTAGGAGATGTGAGGCGAGGTGTGGCTGGGGCAAAGAGGGGCCGAAGTGTCGGTTGGGAAATGAAGGGAAAATAATTCTGTGGCCAATTGCATGGAAAGTGTGTGGAAAACTGTGTGCGTACAACAGGATGCGTGTGCGTGTGTGTGTGTGTGCTGCTGCTCCAGGAGTAGTTCTCTCTCTCTCTCTCTCTGTCTCTGTCTGGCTCTTTTCTCTTGAGAAAAAGTTAGTTCTTCAAGCAGTTAGCAGGGGATTAAGCGAATAAACCCAGAAATCAGATACTAACAGCTCCTACCCCTACGAAGCGCCTCCCTTCTTTACCCGTTCCTCCTCCTTCCAAAGAGAGATTCGTGGAGAGAGAGATGGTAGAGTAAAACTCCCAAGAACCGAGAAAATTACAAATAAATTAAGGACAAAACTTTTAGGATAATTTCCTTAGCCCTCCATTCCCCATCCTCCTGTTTCTGCACCCCTTTAGCTCCCCCTTTCCATCTCTAATGCCTTTCCCCCCTTATGTCTTTCTGTACCTTTTCGGCTTTCGGGTAGGATGATTTATGATCCACTCCGTCTCCCAATCGACATTTGCATAGAGGATATACTCGTCTCGTAGATAAAAAGATACATACATATTTATCGATGGATACGGATACGGATACGTTTCACGTTGAAGGTAAACACAGAGGCATGCCTCTGTCTCTGCCACGCCTCCATCCAAAATATTTGCCCAATTTCCTCTTAGTGGGAAGGGGTGTTGGGTGGGTGTTGCGTGTGGTGTGGGGAGGGGGGGTGGTAACAGCATAATCCCCACATTGTTTCTGACAGCAGATCAATCGAGTGGAAAATGCCGCTGCGGCTGCGGGGCAATCGGTCTATCGGATCTACCGTTCTCTCTCCGTCTCTATCTCTTTATCTCTCTCTCTCTCTCTCTCTCTCTCTCTCTCTCTCTGTCTCTTTTTCTGTCTCTGCCACTCGATTATATTTTAGCCGATAATTGGCCCACAAGCAGATAAGGGAAGCACCTCCCCAGCCCTCCCCTCTGAGGCAACAGTTCTCTGCGGAGATGGGGGCTGGGATAAGTTTATAACAAGGTGAGATTGCATTAGGACGAAGGACGCTGCTGCTGCTGCTGATGCTGTCAATGAATGAATGGGGCATGCCACAGAGCAAGAGAGAGAGAGACAGAACAAAAAGACAGATTCAGAGACAAAGGAAACCACAAAATTGCTGGAGAGTTTGCAAAGGGAAAACAAAAGGAAAATAGACGGTGAGAGAGGGGGAGGACCAGCAGTAGAGGAAGCTAAGGAGGCGGGGAGGGGCAACCACTTGCTGCGTGGAAGGTTGAAAGATGAGAGGTGGGGGCGGAGGCGAAGGAGTGGTTGTGCCTGTGCCCCGCAGGTGGAGAAGGCAAGGAAAAGTTCTGTGCCTGTGTGTGTGTCTCTGTGTCTGCGTGTACGTGTGTTTGGCCCAACAATTGGCCCCAAAGCGTTGCCCCATTGTGTTCTGCTTGCCCCATGGCTACAATATACTCTTCCCCCTTCCCCCTTTCCACTCCTCTATCCTTCTTCTTGTTGTGTCTGTCTTTTCCTTCCCGTTTCGGGGTATGCGAGTGACTTTCCACAGGAGCTTCAGAAGCAAACGATAAACAGCCCGACAATGCCAATGGCAGAGTCCTTAGTCCTTCGACAACTTCCTCTAGTTGTGTGCCACTTCCTTTTCACTCTTCCCCCCCTTCACAGCACTCTTCTCCTCCTGCATCCTCCAGTTCCTTTCATTTCTTCCCTGTCCCCCTCGCTTTGCTCCTTTTTCGGGTTCCATCGAATCCACACTCTGCTCGATTCCTCTCTCTCCCTCCACAACCCACAACCCACTCTATACTTTCTCTCCCCCTGCCTCCCCGATGCCACGTTTCTATGACTTAATGCTAACAAACGCATCCACGTGCCACAGAAATAATCGTCCAACTCTCAGCAGCTTTGACTCTTTTTCTGTGCCGCTTGTGTCGCCCG